AAAGATCTGTAAGTATGTTTTGTTTGTTTTTTGTCTTCTTTTGCCTTTCAGTGGAATGTTTTAATCTTGTGAAAGTGTTGTAAGTTAAGTAGACAAAAAAAGTCTTGCACTTGTAGAGTTCTACACGTGTGGCAATTCCAGATGGATGACTGCAAAGTAGTGTCAGATGGAGATTTACGGTCACAGTGAACTTTTACACTAAAGCAATAGTGTTTGTGATATTTGAATTTAAAAAAAAGTCTAATGGAATGGACCTTGATGTTTTTTTTCTCTCTCCATGCTAAATGGTCCTTCTCAACACCTTATTGAGAAGAACACCTTAATTATTGAAGCCAGGGACATTGCTTCTAGGAGTTTAGCTTTACAGTGTGTAGTTTCTTAAGCACTTCAGGGTATTATCCAAAAAACTCTTGAGCAAATTACAATCAGATTGGACCCTTCCCTCAGCAGGCACCAAAACTTTGTCTTCTGCCTCCTTTTGAACCAAGCATATGTGTTCACATGCCTGAGGGGAAGGGATGCCATCCAGAGGGACTAGGACAAGGTCACACACTAGGCCCTTGTGAACCTCATGAGGTTCAACGAGGCCAAGTGCAAGGTCCCATACCAGGGCTGGGGCAGTCCTCAATATCAGTACAGACAGGGGGATGAAGAGATTTTGAGCAGCCCTGCAGAGAAGGACTTGGGGGTACTGGTGGATGAGAAGCTGGACGTGAGCTGGCAGTGTGTGCTTGCAGCCCAGAAGGCCCACTGTGTCCTGGGCTGCATCAAGAGAAGCGTGGCCAGCAGGTTGAGGGAGGTGATTCTGCCCCTCTGCTCTGCTCGGATCTGCTGAGACCCTACCTGGAGTACTGTGTCCACCTCTGGGGTCCCCAGTACAGGAAGGACAGGGACCTGCTGGAACAGGTCCAAAGGAGGGCCACAAAAATGGTCAGAGGGCTGGAACACCTCTCCTATGAGGACAGGCTGAGAGAGTTGGGGTCATTCAGCCTGAAGAAGAGAAGGCTCCAGGGAGTCCTTATTGTGACCTTTCCATACTTAAAGGGGGCAAGGAAGTTTTTATGAGGGCCTGTAGGAACAGGACAAAGAGCAATGGTTTAGAACTGAGAGAGAATAGGTTCAGATTGGACATAAGGAAGTAGTTTTTTATGATGAGGGTGGTGAGACACTAGCACAGGTTGCTCAGGGAGGTGTTAGAAGCCCCATCCCTGGAAACATTCAAGGTGAGGCTGGATGGGGCTCTGAGCAACCTGATCTAGTTAAAGATGTCCCTGCTCACTGCAGGGGAGTTGGACTAGTTTACCTTTCAAGATCCCTTCCAACCCAAACCATTGTATGATTCTATGTGGTTTGTATCACCATATTAATTTCCAGTTTTAACCTTACTCCAGCCATTCTTGCAAAAACTAGGCCTAAATCCATACGTGTAATCTGACATTGTATAAGGTAATATCCTACTTGGCTTCACCTGTCTTCAAGCTGTATCCATCAGCCTCACCCTGGTTCTGCAGTTCAGCACCATCTCACTTCAGGCCAGGTGGAGCCTTTAGACTTGCTGTCTCTTAATGTGCGTTTGCTGGACTGGACTACTGAACTCTTCTTTGTTGGTGTTAACAAACTCAAAGCTAAGGGTAGTGAGGTGGACCATTTGTGGTGTATTCTGAGTCCATATCTTACCTAATTAAATATTCCTGTGCATAGTTTCCTGTAATGCTTTGTCAGAGAATGCTTCTGGATTCACAGTATGTGTGAATCAGGGGAGTAAGGGCGTATATCTTCCTCCTGTCTTTGCTTTTTGTGCAGACATTGTAGCATATGGATATTCTGTTTAGGGTTTGGAAAGCCCTTTTGTAGATCTGTTCCTGCTTGTGCATATAGCTAGGGACACCAATTACGTTGTGACTGAGCAGTTTCCAAATAAATGGTAAAATGCTTGGAACCTTTGACTAGGGAAGAAGAAGCAGCTAGGGATAGAAAGGGAGATAGGTGGGATTTTCAGGTCAAAGAAATCTATCAGATAATAACAGAGGTAGTATCTAGTGACCTGGGAGGGGTTTTTTTGGTTTGTTTTTACCTTTTTTGGCCAGTGGTGTTACTTGTCAGATGGCTGCAGAACCTTATTCCTTTAATATGAATACTAACTTTTGGCTGAATCTTTTAATACCCGATTTACAACATCACCTGGTGCTTAAATGATCTTTTAGTTCTTGGTTTCTGGCTAATACCCTGTATGTATAAATAAGTTGCATCGCTCTCAGAGATTTTGTTGCTAAATGAATGGTTATCTCCTCTAATTTTAGTTTTGGTTCTGAGCACCCTTCCTTGAACTGTCTGTAACAGGACAACTGACAAGCTTCAGTACCATTCTGATTTCATAAGAGCAATATGAAGAACAGTGTAATTCTGAAGGGAGAAAGCTTATGTGATTTACAGTCTTTTGGACTCCTTCTGAGGGTTTTTTCAAACGTCAAGCCAATGAGAATGGTTCTGTAGAGCTAGTAATGCTCCCTATATTGTTGCAGGCAGACAAAAGATCCTTTCATGCCCTCACCCACTCAACTTGAGATTTCTCAGGCCTTTTCTTTCACCTTTTTCCTTTATTACCTTTTCTTCCCCAGGAAATGATAGAAGCTATCAGAGAAGCTGTCATCTACCTGGCACACACTCATGATGGAGCCCGAGTAGCAATGCACTGCTTATGGCATGGTACTCCCAAGGTACTGTTTGATTTCTGTCTACCCAGTCCTCTTTAATAATAATCTAGTCTGAGACTGAGTATGACTGCTCACAGGGGTCCTTCTGCCAGTGCACATCTTGATGCAGTTACATATTTGAAGGCAAGGTTAAAAAATGGCCCCACTTTACCTATTGGCAGATATAAGCAGTAGTTTTTCATTAATCAAATGCTTTCATTAGAACTTATATAGTAGAAGTATCTCCCTTTGTTTTCAGTAGAGTTCTTGGAGATAACACATAAAGCTTTTCCATTTTAAGATTATTGGCCATTCATTCATCCCATAGATTTCTTAATACAGGTAACACTGGCCATAGGGAGAGGACAGTGAAGAAGTTGTAATGTGGATCGATGTTTGAATTTGGAATTTTAAGACTTAGAAAATGTTATAGGAATTGTTTTTTAGTTTCTTCTGCTGGTACAGTATCCTGAAATACTTTAGGTGTAACATGTGCCATCATCTCTTGGAAATATTGCAATGCCTCCTAGCTTTTTCTCTATTTAAGAAGAAAAAAAGACAACTTATGAAAACAGCCTGCTTAAAAAATAATGCAGAAAAAAATATGAAGTTGCTAGAATCTAGGGGTAGTAATGGGTCTAAAGAAGACAGAGCTGTGATTGCAAGAACCAAAAGGACAAGCACTGAGGAAATGTTCTGACAAGAAGGTCTTACTAGGCTAGAGTCCTTGATACTCTAAAGTAGTCCTGTTGAGTAAGTGTCTTTCCAAATGAAGAGTTTAAGTGCATTCAAGGTATGTGTTGGTGGATTTTTGTGTTGTGGGTTTTTTGTTTTTTGGGGTTCTTTTGAGTTACCCTTTTTGGCATCTCCCATTGGTGGGCTGGATTTGTAAACATAGGACAAAACCTCTCTGGGATTGAGTCTTTCACAGTTTAGGTTTAATTCTTCATGCTGTTTCTAGGTGTTGACTAGTAGTACAAATGTGAAACTTTGGTAAATAACCTTTGCTTTAGTAAGCAAATTGAAGGTTATCTTTTTGAAAGTGTAAATAACAATTTAGTTATTCAGAATCACTGGCACTATAGGCTCATTTGAGTTTCTTGTTTCTTTTTGGATAGGACAGAAAAGTCATTGTGAAAACCATGAAGACATATATTGAAAAAATAGCAGTGGTGAGTGTTGATTAACCATTTATTTCATAGTCTCTAAAAGAGCAGTGATTTGATAGAGGCTAATTTGAATGTGCTTTGGTACTGGAAACAACTATGAGATCTTAATAAAGCTTGATTTAAGATAGTGATGATATACTAGATAATATGAAATATATTGAACTTGATGTAATATTTAGGGACATACCGAGAAGCTTCATTGTGGTTACTACATGTAGTACTATCCTTCTTTAAAGTAGCTGAGTTAACTAGGTCCTAAATTTTTTTTTTCTATAGTGGTTTTTTTTGAGCCCAGCTTTATATTGCATCTTCATATGGCTCAGTTGGTTTTCCATGGTTGGGGGTAAAATAACACATATACAGAAGAGGGAGAAAAATTAAGATGCACTTGGGATGTAGTTGGAAAGGCCATTTGAATGTGCATATTTCTTATAAGATGTTCAGTAACTTTTTTAAGTCAGGAAGCTTCAGAATGAATTAATGCTGAAGTGGCATACAATGTAAGAAGTCTGTATTTAATTTTTTTTCTGAGTAACGTGTATGTTTGGAGCCTGCAGCACCAATAGTAACAATTGCAGCTAGATTTCATAGTGCTGGGTAAAACTGCAACTGTGAAGACAAGCTTTTTAAACTTCTTCCCTTCCTGGTTGCTCTGTTGTTCTATTTACTAATAGTTGATGTGGTCTCAATCAGTGGTCTCCAACCCTTTTTCGTCATGCAACCCTGAGCATGCATCCCCAATATATGTATATTTATGTATAAATTATATACATGTACTAGTATACATTATAAAAATTACACAGGAATAGAAATTTTTAAAAGATGAGATGAAGATAAATAGTGGCTATTTTTATATATTAATGGTACAAAAAAATATTTTCTTCCTGCACCACAATGGATTCCCTTGTGCATCCCACTTTGGAGGCCTGTGGTCTAAGTAATGTTTCCCTCCATGATTTTCTAGTACCAGAATAAATGGGTAGTTATATTTTATAAAATATATATTATATAGAAATAAGACACAATGGGTAAATAATAGCTAAAACAACAGTAGAGCACTGAAGGTCTAGCTTCACTTTGATATAGTCTTACTGACTTATGAGTGAGTTGGATTGTGCCCTTTTGAGTATGCTGGAGACTTGCTCTTCAACAATGCAGTAGAGACTGTATGGCTCATTGCAGAGATGTGATCTCCAAAAATACAGTATGTGATTTATCTTAGCAAATCCACCACAGAAGTAAAATCACTATGTGATGTTCCTGCGAGCCAAATCCTATTATTTCAAATAAAGATTAAACAATATTAGGATAATAGTTTGGATGTGATAAAGCAGTATATCAACTTACAGTAGCAGAGCCACTTCATCTGCCTTTGTTATAACAACTTGCTTTTCTTGACAAGCATTGCTTTCAGAGAGAGCCTGAATATTTGGCTTCTCTCATTCAACGCAGTAGGCAGAATTTGCTTGTGATTCATAATGTGTCATGTTTGAGACAAATTCAGAAATGTTGATTCTAAGTCAATTAGACTATTCATAGGACTTGACTGTGGTTTCTGATGCCTCACCTTTGCAGGGTGAATTTTCTCATCTGGTCTTGCTGGCAGCATTTGATTGCATCGATGACACTAAACTTGTGAAACAGTTAATTATATCTGTAAGTAATTGAATTTTTCCTAAAATAGTATACTAAACAGTGTGTTGGTCAATGTATAGGAGCATGAGAATAGAGATCTATCTGCTTTTTCAAACCATTTAATTCCTTTGCACCTTTTCTATTTCATTGTATTTGTGTATCATGATTTTTTTGTCTTTTCATAGAAGACCTGAACATTTTCACCTAGTTTTAAGCAATATTTTTGATTTTTTTGTCTTTTCATAGAAGACCTGAACACTTTCATATGTTCTCTTTAGTTATTTATTTGAATGAGTTTATAAGCTAGATTCAGTGCTTGCTGAAAATTAACTCCTTTTGAACATGTTCATTCTGGCTACTGGATTACTGGAATGTCTTTAAAGTCAATGTGTTTACCATTGAAGTTTGAGCTCTGCTAGTATTTAAAGAGTTTAAATTGGTGGAAAACTTTACGATGAGGATGTCACATTATCTGTTTTTCAGGCATACCTAAAATGTCAAGAATATCTGTGCCTAGACTGTCCTTATTATGCAAACCTATTGTAAAAAAAAGGTTGTCTAGCTCATTTAGCTCTTTTTTGCGGAAGTAGCATCTTTGAAAGTGATACTTCAAGATAAACTATAGAAAACTTTCAGGAACATGGCAGCAGGTCTGAATACAGTATACCATGACTTCAAACAAGAAAAATACTGGGAGACTTTTAGTTGGATGCTGAAACCATTAACTCACACTAGTTCTCAAAACTTGACATTTTTACTTAATATGTTGATAATTAAATTACAACTAGCATTCTGGATAAATTCCACATAGTATTTTTTATCTTGCTTCCAAAACGGGTACAGATAGATGTCTGAAACATGAGAGTACTCTGGCTGTTCTGCTTCACCTACATGGAATTGCAGAATGAACAGTAAGGACAGTATGATCTACTACGCATCTGCTTCCTTTTGGAATGCCCCATTTCCCTGCCTTCCTTCCAAAAATTATTTAATAGGGTTTCATAAAGTGTTTGTACTTAAGATTATGTTTGCATGCAAATTTTATGCAAACTTCTAAGGAGTTTTAATTTGTGAATTACCATGACGTTATGTTTTCACACTGATAAAAAAGACTTCATAGTGCACAATTAATTTTCTTGCAAGCAGCGTAGTTAAAATTGATGTATAGATTGTAATGGGCTTATAGTAGTACTCATGCTGTAGCTTTTAAGACTGATGGGTTGAGAGGCAGTGACAGGGAGGTAAAGATCAGGCAAATACTCTGCATGTGGAGGAGGACTATAAGGATAAAGTGGTTATGATGAGGCTTGCTTTACAAAAATATGAGCAGTTCTTCCGTTGAGCAGCTTTGTAGGGGTGAATTGTTTTTTCGTACCCTACCGTGGGGATTTGGCCCTAAGTATTTGCCTCTCTGGGTGTGGAGAGATTAAAGCATCTCAGTGTGGAGATGGCTTTTGATTCTCAGGTATATTAGGTGGGTTTTGTTTCCAGAGTTCAGTCTGCAGTGTAACAACTTGTGGGAAAGTCCCAAGCAAATAAGACCTGACTGATTGGAGCTGTCTTGGTACAAGATCATTGAGGCATTCCTTTTAAAAGCACACTGCTTTCTGGAGGATTCAGGTACTGTGTTTGGCTTTAGCTGAGCTTCCAAGGTGTCATTTAATTCCTGAATCATCTATGTTTTTCTACATATGAGATCAAAGATAATGGAGTGTTGACTGTGTGGTCATCCTACTGCATCAATCTGGACAGAAGAGTAAAGGAGAATAAGGAGGGAGTGGCCTTCACACATACAGAGTAGACCTATCTGGGTTTGTATGAGGTCAAGAACAGGGAAAAGCTGTCACGGAAGAGGAAAAAAATATCAAATAAGAGCAAAACCAGTTCTCCACATGGTCAATGAAAACTAATAGTGGAGGATGAGGTGGAAGCATGTAGAAATTAAACATTGAAGCATACTCTATAAAAGAACCCAACCCTTAAAGTTATCTTAAAGGAGCAGTTAGACTTCTAAAAGACTTTATACCAATTATCATTCTGTCCATACTAAAATTTAGCGTCAGGAATGTAAGGAAAATAATAAAGATTGATGGAAAAGAGAAAAAGCAGTGTTGGGCAAGTTTTTTGTGGGTAGGTTTTTTTTTTGAAGGGGGGGCAGTGTTTGCTAGTACTATAAAAGTGATCACTTAGGTGGATTGGCAGAATGGCTGGGAGTTTGTAGGTAAGGGAAGGTTTTAAGGTCTTCAAATCCTTCAAGGAAAGTCTTTCCTCTCATCACCTGTTGGCCCCACTGAGTCTTAATCGAGGACGGAAGAATATGTATGGTGCTTTAAACCTTCATATATGATTGGAACTGTACATTGTGAGCTTGGCACATACCAGGTTTTGGACAGATTTAGCAGAACATCCCTCTCTTCCTTGAGGACTCCCAGCAGGCAGTGCTAGGGAGACATTAACCAACGAGAGACAGCATGCCTTAGTTTCTTTTGGTACTTTCTCATAGTTCTGGTACTGAAAGTGACGAAATTCTGTAATTCTTTGGAATCAGTGGGGGAAATACACTTTTGGAGGATTTAAAGAAAAATGTGTCTATTAGCTTTTATGCAAAATGGTTGATTTCAAAGAGCAGATGATTTTTGAGTTTATTTGTACTAAATGACACTTTTTTTAACCTGTTTTACATTTTGAAATATTTCAGCAGCTTTGTCTTCCATTTAATTGGTAAATAAACTTCACACACATTTGAATCTGGATGTACAGGCTCAGAAGACAGAACCTGGTTTTGGTTTGGGGGTTTCATTCCTCAGGAAAGGATTTTTTTTTTATTTTTTATTTTTTCCCCTGCACCTGGAGTGTGAAAGTTAGTAATAGGTTTTTATTCATAGTTACAGTGCTGCATCAAACTGATGTTCCATCTCAGTTTACCAAAATTCATTTTCACCTAGGTTTAAGCAATATTTTTTAAATAAGAACAGTCTTACCATTTCCTGCCAG